TCTCTCTCCGGCACCCCTCCCGAGAGGCCCTCCCGAGAGGCCCTAGCATCATGTCGCCCGCCAGCTCTCCAGTCCAAAGGGTCAGCCTCAGGGGGCTTCTCTTGTCCCTTTGCCCCCTTCAGGTTACACCAGCTCGCACCACTGGTGCCTAGATGCCACTGGCAGCCCCACGCGGCAAGGACACAGGCTCCCAGGTGCCGCCGTCCCCACTGGCGATCCCACGCGGCTGCCCTCCGCTGGCATGGCTCAGCACAGGTGTGGCACAGGCCGAGGGCATCACTATCTTCACTGCCCGCCCTGCTCCAGCTTAGGCCCAGATCTTTGGCCTCTTCACTGGGGCAGCACCCTTCCCCGGTTTGGTAAAGTTGCCTAGAAAATGCCCCCCTCCCCACCTCGACCGCCTTACAGCACAGCATCTAGAGCATCTTTTACCCGCCCCGCCCCCGCCCCCCAGGGGCTTTTGGGCAGAGCAGCTCCACCCTCTCTCCATTCTAGTTATTAGATTCCGATTCTGCACAAGATTCCACTTGACCAAGCATTCTGCCACCGACAAAGTATGAAAACTACTGGCTTAGAAACAAACAGCCCTGTCTAGTGAACATCAGCAGGAACGTAACAAGCGTTTGCCTGATCCCTTCACCCCTAAACCCAGTGGGCTCCGGGACGCCTCGGGGCGAGTCAGCGGGCTCGTGTCCTGCCGGAGCACGGGACAGTGAGAGCCCGGGCAGAAGCGGGGCTGGCACGCACCCCCCCCCTTGTCCATCACCTTCTGCACTCACACCCACGCTGTCACCACGTGGTGTGACACTAACTTCTCTGCAGGTTTCGGTGTGAAACAAAGGGACTTTCCTGACCCGGGCCCTGGGTGGCAGCAAGGGTGGACGTCCTGCTCCCTACCCTTGTCCGTGTCCTGCTCTCCCACTTTCCTCTTTCTTCACACTCAACTTCTTCCAGCGCCTCTCCTCCTCACAGAAATAGGGGGCATGCTCTCTGCCTGAGTTCCCCCTGCCGAATCTTAGGCCCAGTGCCCGGCACTTAGGACATGCTCAGTAAAATCTGTTACATACGTTGGGAATGTTACAGGGTCCTCCAAACAGAAACCCTTTGAAGTGCCAATGCTTTTTCTGGCAATTGCAAATTGCATTTTTTATATTTTGTAATCCCACGAAATGCATCCCTTTAGAACTTCGTACACACGCATGCAAGAACCGCTTATAATTCCACCCCTTCCAGTACTTGTGTGGGCAAAACAGCCCATTTATGAGGAGGGAGCACCAAGAAACCAGGGCTTAGCCAGTCAAAAAGGGGCCGGCCCGGTGGTCCTGGCCTACGAGCTGCATGTTCACTGGACGCGGTGATGGGAAGAGAGCTGCAAATGACGGCATGGCACACGGCATGAGATGACGCCGGACGCTGGCACACACAACACGGTGGGCCACACACAGGAAGGCGGCAGGGGCGGGACTGCGATGGCAGCAGGGTTGGGGTGGGTGGGACGGGGGGTCGATCTCACCTCAAAGGCAGGAGGGGTGTACAACTAAAGCTGTTGATACGGGAACTGAGAAAGGCCACTAGATCAGAAACCAAAGGAGCCAGATAGTAAAAAGCCCTGAGGAAGCAAACTGTAGCCGGGAGAGAAGAGAGAAGAACAGGGGCCGTAAGCCAGGGGACGGCCAGCTGCTCGTGAGCGAGAGGCTGAGGGGTTAGGGACCATGTCTCTGGGGAAGGGGGCTGTGCTCCTGCAGCCAGCCCCGCAGGGTCCTTGGGGGAATGGTCACTGCTAACCCGTCCCTCAGCCGGGGGTGGGGGTGGCGGGCTCTTTACTGGCCTCCTGAGGATTTCTTGGGGGAGAAACACGAATGGCTACACCCATATCCTGAAATCGTACCACTCGAACCTCATTAACAAAGAGCAAGGACAGCCCTGGCCCAGAGGGGAGCTGTGCTGGGGCTGGGGCAGAGCAGGCGGACGGGACTCTGAACGTGGTGGTCCTGGAGATGACCCAAAGACCCCTTTCCCCCAGGATAGCGCTCTCTGGCAAAATGAAGCTGGCCTTTGAGAAAAGGAAGGGCAGCAGCTGACGAACTACATCCAGTTGTGAATTTCGGTTCCACCATATAGGGTTTCCTGGGACCTCTGTGTTAACAGCTACTTCTTTCCAGCTAATTTAAACAAAACTGGGATGACCAGCTGAAGGAAGCCCCTGCCCCACCGCTCTGGAAGCATCCTCAGGCATTCCTCCCTGGAGACTCACCCACATGCACGGGACCCTCTAGTAACAAATTCTCCTCACACGCTGCTTGGGTTTGAAGACTCCCTCCCACCCCCCTTCCCCCAAGCCCTGTTTTCACTCACCCCAGGGTCTCAGGGCTCTTTACCTGCCACGCCTCAAGCTGCTGTGAGAGGTTCAGTTTCTGCTGAATGGCATCCAGCAACTGGCTGTTCAGTGACATCATGTCCATCTTGCACTTGGCAAGTTCCAGCTCCACAGCATTCTTCCTGAAAACAGACAAGCCAGGGTGAACGTGGGCACCTGGGGTCCACAGGACGAGGAGACAGACTCCGACCTTAAACTCGCAACAAATAGGAGCTGTGACAGTAACCAGGATGTTACTTGCAGAAAGCTGGAAAGTTCACAGCACGGGTTCATATCCATTTTCTCAACTGTTTTGACGACCTGTGGGTGAAGGAAGCCCCTGCCTCCCCATCTCATGGATGAAGAGCAGTTTTGAGAGGAGGATACTGAGGAGGACTGGAACCCAGAGGAGATCAAAGGCCTCACACAGTACTATGAAGTTGCTAATCATTCCCCAAAAAGTCCAGTCCCCATGAGAGATAAGGCCCTTGTCCTCTTGGCCCCTCCTTTTCACTAGCAATGCCCCCGGCCCAAGGGATCTGTCCTAAAGAGGCCACACATGTGCCAAAGTAGCCACATAGTGGTGGTGACTACAGCCTAGCTAATCATAGTTGCCAACAATTGTTGGCAGAACAATTATATGGTAGAACACAGTCATCACAACCAACCACGACAGTGAATATTCAAACAGTGGGGAAATACGACGTATTGCTGAGTTGGAGAAAAGCACAAGACAAGGTCTGACAGGATACTGGCTTTGTAAAAGAAAAACTGCCTGTGTGTATTTAAAGGTCATACAAAAAAAAAAAAAAATTCTACTTGGCTATCTCTGGATGATCGTTGATGGGATCCTACATACTTTTGCATTTTGTATTTTCATAGTTTAATATGTTTCACATATTACTCTGTTTGCCTTTTCCAACATTCTTAAATCATAGTTGTTCAACGCAAAACAAAATTAAATTTTTTCAGGGCTGGGGGAATGGGATTAAAAAATATAAGACACTAACTGAACAGCTTCTGCCAAGGAACACTGGTTGCCGACCTGCCAAACTGGACATTATTTAGCCCCCATTATCAACTGCTACCTTTTGCATTCCCAATGGCAATGCAAAAATGCCTCCATGCACAGGGCCAGCGACCCAGGTGCCCGTCCTAAGGACAGCTACAGGACCTGCCTATAGAGGCCTTCTTGCTGGGGCCTCGGACAGGGGCTGCACCAAGGGAAGTGTGGTTGGGAGGTAGGGTAGGTGGGGGTAAAGCTCTCGGGGCCGCCGCCATGACCAGCACTTCCTCCCTGGCCACAAATCTACCCGTCCAGTCACCTCCCCTGACACCTCATGGCCGCAGAACGGCGCCCGGTCCGCCTTTCCCAGGAAAGCCGGTCCAGATGGCTTGCAACACCCCGGTCCGCCCACCGCACTGCGGCTGAGGGGCCAGGAGCTGAGGACGTCCAATGAGGGCCGGCGTCTCAGGTCTCAGACGTCTCAGGGAGCCCTGTCACGCCCGCTGCCATTGGCTGGCGGTAAACAGCGGAAATCCTTGCGTGGCACCGGTTGCCATGGACGCCTG